GACAGTAACCTGGTTATGTGATATAATGTTGTCAAGTGTCTGTCTCTCCTACCAGCAGCCTGTTGTCCTTCACTTGCCAGTGTACAGCACAAGTGTCTGTTGTCTTTCACAACACTCTTCTTCATTCATTTGTCCAGCTAAATGATGCATACGTTGTGTTCAGTTTCTCTTCGCGTTGCTCATCCTCACATTGCACTGCACTGCACTACAATGCATTGCTTCATCTTCTCCTTCTTCTTCACCATCACCATCACCATCTCCCTCTCTACCCTCTATCACCTTCCGTAAATCCGTTGATATCCATTCCTTGTCTCGCCTCTTCTCCCTCCTTCCTAACACGGTTATGCAGGTTTATTTCCACATCAACTTCAAAGACTTCCAGTGTTTATCCACACAGATCCCTTCACAGGTGTTGCTCAATTTCTCCCATCTTGTCCCGATGACTGACTGGTGTGAAGATGTTGTTTGTAGTTTCCTCCTGCACTTCAGTTTCGGTTCTGAGTGTTCAACTTGAACTGTGGTCTATCACCAACTTCTGTGTAGGCTGGCTATCAACTTGATTTCGAAGGTAAGTTCCTTGCACTAGATAGTGAGTGATTGGAACCACCTACATCTGCTCCTCTTCTTTATCTGATCTTGTGTGTAGTAGGCCGGCTGCGTCTCCACTTTCTTCACATTCAGATGAAGTTGATCTGAGTTTTAGTGTGTGTCTGGTGTCTAGTGAAGTCTATGTCGCCTCGTTAATATCGTTCTGTTTGTAAACACTACCTCCAATCACCAAATCGTTGGATGCGCACAAGTCTGCAAACAGTTCTCCATTCTCATTCATCATTTCACTGAGTGCCTCTCCATCCATGATGTGTTATCTTTCTGTGTTGTCTACCTCCAGTTTGGCTGGCATTCACGTCACCCCACCCACCATTAGAATTTCGATGTCGCCAACTGGGCTGCAGTCTTGTCTAGTACTGATTGCAGTTGTCTGTACAATTCCTCCTCCTTCTCTTCATCTGTATTATTTGTATGTGTGCAGCATAACATTTTGTGATTGTGACTTTCCTTCCTTCCTTCCTTCCTTCCTTCGAGTTGAATCCGTCTCGCTGTCATGATCCTGATCCTGCAGGAGGAGATTGGTTCTCACTGGATGAGGAAGAGGGAGAGAGTGGGAGAGAGAGGGGGAGAGCCTACGATGCTCCTCAAGGGGACATCATGAAAGCCACTCCAGAACTCAGTGTGCTCATGGTTGTCGTCTGGGTGACAATATTGGAGTAGATTATTGACTCTCCTCTCCAGTTGACAGTTTGGAGAGTCCACTTCCATTCCGTGTGCAGACTACTCGCAGATTCCCAGCACTTCTATGCTATAACTTCTCATCTTCTGTGCAATCTGGACAACCTTGCCAGCCAACTTCAAACATTGTGTGGACATTCCATGTCCCCATGCTTACTTTCGCTTTCATCGAGAGAGAGAGAGAGAGAGGAGACGTATCGGGCAATTGGCTTTCCGAAGACAGGCTTTCACCAACCGGTGTCATTTTGTCTTTTCGATTCAGGTGAGGGATAAGTTTGTTATAATTTTTTATATTTTGTTTGTGCTTTGAAGTTTGTTTAAGGATTGGATTGGTTTTCCATTGTCGGGTTGCCGACCGAGTGCCGAACCCTATTTCTTTATCCGGGCTTAGGAACGGCTAGTAACTAGTGAACTACATACATTGACGAGGTTCATTTAATTCATTACAAAATAAAACTAGTACAAGTTAATGCGCATCCAACTGGCATCATAAATATAATGAACCATGTTAATGCCTTGTGGGTAAGAAGGAAAACAATTATTTTATCGAAATATATATCAATTTTTATATGACCAAAAATTGAGTTGAGTATGCAGTCTGTACAGAATTTCTTTTTGGGAGATGTGGGTTTTTCAAGACCTCATTTACTTGAAAACTTACTTGTCCTTTTTCTTAGAATTTTGAAGGCAAACTTCCTTTATGGGACAACTTTGATTCGGACACAATGAAAATGCTCTACTTAAATAGCTATTAACGAACATCTAGATATACATGAACTACTAAGAAAGGGTCAGTCAACTGGAAATCAGTCACGTAAATCAAAAATCAAATATCAGGTAAACAGCATAGGTCAAATGAAAACAACATTCCTAATGGTCCTTCCCTGATAAAAAAACAGAACATTCAATCCTACCTACAAACCAGTTAAGTGTAAGGTGGGGAAATATCCTTTATGAACACTTATGGCTTTTGAAAATGCCTCATTTCTTTATGAAGCAATTGATGATGAAGTCGTTTGGCCTTGTGAAAAACCACAAACAAAACCGTCCCAGCTCGGAGAACATCAAAACAATTACTAAACAACTGCAACATTTTGCTTTACCTATAAAAGTTTGAAGTGAAAATACGTTTTGTTTGCTTGTAAGTGAATTGGTGTAATTAGATGTGAAAAAAACACTCAGAATTTGCTATTTTAATCTGAAACATCCATATCCACTTGCAGTTATGGTTTCATGATTGCGCAATATAGTGGCTTTAATGCATTTAACGTTTACAAGAATGGATAGTAGAAATTAATTCATAACTTGATTCTACTGCATCCAACCACCCGACCCTAAGGAGAAGCCGACAAGTTTTATTTTCGAAAATAATTTCGTTTTTTCCTTGTGTTAATGAAATTTAGCCTAAAGGTTTTTCCTTTCCTTATAAGTTAATAGTAATACAGTCAACTGTTCGGAAACATAGGTCTAGCTTCATTTTCGAATATAGTATGATTGTCAGCGATTATCTGAAAACATTAAGTGAACCAGAACTTGAACTCTCAATTTCATTCACCGGAAGACAACATTTAAGATTTTAGAAAATATTTCAGCGCCATTTATAAATCTCTCCTTAGTTGACAATGCAAGTTATTGCATATTTTGTTGCCGTAATCAATATGACCTGACCTTCAGTCTCATAGGAAGTTAATTTTCTTCGAAGATATTCTCCAAGTAACAAATCTTGGTTCAGTATTCTGTTGAAAGACAGTGAGTATAAGACTAGACTATCGGTTCAAAATTTTATGTAAATTATTTTTGCACGTATTTAAGCAATGTTCAAAGAAAGCTAAGACTGTGATCTGTTGGGGTCATTTTACGGCATTAAACTGAATAAGTGAATAAAACTGAGTTTTTCCCATTGTAAGCTAACTTTAAGATTAAGGGGGATTCCAAGCGTAAAACCAAGTTACTTTGGGTCATAAGAGAACGGAAATTGAATTGAGAGTTTTCTTTTGCTCACATAAGTTTCGTCTAGAAAATATCAAATTGCCTAGTTTCATATGAACTGAGAAGAATGGAACTACTTCCCTCGCTAGAGAAAATTCACATCATATAGAGAAATGATACAATTTAAGAAACGTTTTTGAAAAGAGGCTGCAAAATATTCATGTTGACATGTATGTACTGAGGTTACGTTTCGCCACCACCTACTTTAACTCAAGTAAGCTATGAATTCCATCGCTTCATATCAGTACACAGTAAGAATACTGGAGGACAGTTATCTAAAATTTCTAATTATCAAACGACTAAAATCTTAATCGCTTAAATGCAAAACATTCAAGGAATGTCAAACACGTAGCAGATAGTTTCAGTGGACTGTCATAGTCTGTAAAATTGATTTAATATGATCAAAACGGAGATTTTAAATGTTTATCTTAATTATTCAGATGCATGAAAAGTGTCTTATTCATGTATTCATAGATGGATAGACAAAATCAACGTGAAACTTCGCATAAAAGTGCATCACTTCAAGATACTCAACTTCACAGTAGCAAAGAAAATACAAATGAGTAGAAAAGACTCATATCAGAGTAGAAAAAGTACATTGGGAATAGAGCGGATATAGAAATTAAGGTTAATCAATGCATTCAATTTTTAGAAGACACCAAAGGGTGAATAAATCTGGGCCATCGTGACCAGTAATAAGCCATTTCATCAGAAGTCCTCAACCACCGTATCCGACTGTCTTGGGGACGCCAGCCAAGTAGTCTACACCTCCCCACCCGGCTGTGTGTCAATAACAAATAAGTATACGATATTGGTGACATGAGTAGAAAGTTTTTCGTTAGAAATTTAAGAATTTTATTTTTCTCCGTGAAAGCAGTAAACAAGTAAATACATACTGTGTAATAAAGTGTCCAGTAGATGTCAGTTATTTACAACAAAATGTCGTAGAACGTAGTACCAAGGGATTGAAAATTTATCCACTATTTTGAAGATTTGTGGCGAAAATACCTGGCAGAAATCAAGATGTTCAGGATGTCACTTGAGATATCAAACAACAAAACTGACAGTACTCCGCCTGAATTTTCCAAAATCCTTGGCCAAATCATAAATTCTGACAATCTCCCTTTTTTTCAGTTATATTGATAAAATTCTTTATCTAGTTATACAAACCACGAAAACAGCAAGCGGAATCGTACTGGTTATTTATCTATGATATCCAATGCTACTTACTGAGCTTCAAAGTAGAAACTCAGGTAACTTAGAGGCCATATGAAATAGAGAAACCAAGACAATTGTGTGATCACTGTGTATCGCACAGTCGAGGTTAATTTTTTCCAACACACTTTGACAGTTTATAATGTCCTAAACAGTGTCACGTTTCAGAGTGAACTATGAAAATAAACACCACCTTTACATTCAAACCCAGTGACTACTCACTACATGAATTTTAAACTTTCATGGTTATTTCTCAAAAACCTTGTTAATTATAAACTCATTTCTAAATATATTCTAGTATTCTGTTACATAATATATATGGATTGGTCTTCTAATAAAGTTTTCTATTTAAGAAGGTAAATAAGCCAGGTTTTTTCACTATTTTCTGTCACCTTTGTAGGAATTAGATTTCATTGGATCATCGAGAACTTCGCATTATTCTCGTACATTGGACAATTCATTGACCAATCAAGTCATTTTAAGAAAGACCATTCCGTTTTTATGAAAAAAATGATTTGTAACAGTTTTATAAGATTTCTAATGTATACAAGTTCAATCTCGTCATTTGTGAAATAGTTGTGAAAAGATCATGCTGGATGGAACTTTGTGGATTGAATATAATACAACATGTAGTGGAAATGGAAGTTCAACAGGTGTTACAAAGTTTGAATATTCTCTACCGATTTTAGTGTTTAGCATTATTGCACTAATACTGAACACTCTATGCATCTCAGTATTCACAAGACAACATAGAAAATCAGTTATGCGAACAAGTTTATTAGTTTTGTCTGCAACTGAAGTGTTATTTCATTTATTTGTCTGTATAGAGTATACAACACGGCTTATATGTTCATCACCGAATCCAAGAATGATAAAAGTCTCAGAATTCATATATTTTGCACTCATAAACTGGGGATCTGATTGCTCTTTATGTACACGAAACTGGTGTAATGTATTAATTACTTCAGCACGTACAGAGGTGGTAGTTTATCCAATGCGTAAACGTCGTTTACTGTCCCATTCATCGATAAAATTTATCTATGGGTTTTTATGGATTCTCTCCGGATTTCTAGGCATAGTACGTGCATTTTATGACTATGCAATCATTTGTGACCCTACAAATAAGACAAATACCCAGGCAACTGTGATAACTTCATCTCAATCAAAGGCAGCTGATACAGACCTATCTAACGCTATTGATAAAGGAACAACTATAACATATATTGATGCATTGTTGGATCAATATATAATAAGTAACTATGAAGCATATTGTTTTTTCATTTTTCAAGTAATTGCACCTACATTATTTGTTTTGATCATGTCATTCATCATATCATTCTATGTTTCACCATGGCGTGATTCTAAAATAACTGAAGTAACGAATGTTCGTCGAAGGAATCAAATGAAGGCGACCAGAACAATATTGTTTCTGGCAATTTCATTCCTATGCTTTCAGACACCTAGCTTTATCCTAGTCATTATCCAGCATTACACAAATGTCGAGATCAATTTCCAATTGGCCAAATTAGTTGCTGACCTACTACTAACTTTCGATTCTATAATTAATATTATGATTTATGCTATTGGTTTACCAAGCTTCCGAGTTTATCTCAATCGGATGTTTATCTGTTTATGTCCATTTAGTAATGCAAACATCGGTAATAATAATCGTGGTAGAATGAACTCTATGACATTAACGCAAACAGATTTTCATCCCCTTGCTTATAACATTTCGAAAAGTGAAAGACTCAAACCACCAAGTAGGTTGAATTGGAGTGATAGTCCTCGAGGAAACCGCTGTTCTTATTCACATGAGCCTCATAGATGCCATAATATTTCTTATCGTCCCCACCATAATCATAGAAATAATCAATGTCAATCTAAAGATCACAACAATAACTGTACTACAGAGCAACAAGTTGGGTATGTTAACAACAATGAGGAATTTCCAAGTATAAGGGAGAATGAAATTGGCGACGATATATAGTCAGTTAAATTTTAAAAAACGCAACTTTAATGGTTCCAACGAAAGATTAACACATAGGTTTGTATTTAAAACTACTTTTTTTGACATGTATATCCATTGTAGCCCCTTTTATGAGCATGATTTGTTGTACAGAAACCTATGTAAATTATCAACAAAATGAGTTAGTCACGTGACTCTTTTACCCTGTCTTTAACAGATTCATTTCAGCTGAGTGGAAGTGAATTACAAGTTACTGGTTGGATATAGAACATATAGTCAATAGCAGGCCTATGAAGGCATTTCTGATTGATAAGATCCTTTAGAAAATACTCATAGGCACGTAGAATTTGGCCACATAACTGGAATATTCATGAAATATTCATTCGAAAATATTAAGTTAAGGTTGGAGAAGGCACTTGCTATAAAGATACACAGTTAAGCCAAATACGGACGTATGCTAAATAACATAAACATTTGAAAACAATAATTAGAAACTGATTTATTTTTAAAAAGTTAACTGATGGTAACTTTAAACACTTTTGTGAAAGTAAGTTGTATTTCAATTAAGATGTCTGTTGTAAAAACTGGTCTACTTATTTTCGGTTACTTCAGCATCAAGATACTACTCACTTTATAAACGATTTCAACATAGAGAATCAAGTCATGTATAGCAAGGATACTTGTGGCATAATAATAATAATAATATTGCTCTGTGGCTTGAATATCTGAGTATACGAGAAATAATATATATTTTGGAATTTGCATCCATTAAAATCAAGCAATCTTCCATAATGGCAGTAGGATTTTATCTAAATTAGTATTATTATTTGACTCTTCAGTACCCAGTGGAATAAAGCACTTCCGTAACACGCCACCATTCCACTCCATTCCCCTCAGTCATTTCAACATAGCTCCACAACTCCAAACAACCTTTCATCTCTTCCCAACATGATCTCATCCACGTCACACTCGTCTCAAAGCCCAACTCGTCGTTTCCCCATCACATTCCACTCGACGGTATGGCCTGACGCATGATGTCACCAGTCGATTATCTCTGTGTATGCCCAATCCATCTCCACCTCCATCTCCACATTCTTCTGCATATTTGTTGGGTGATGCGTTCACCGTTGGTTCGGTGTCAGTCAGCCAGAGTTTCTTGTTGCCCGTTCTCATTATTCTGGTCATCTCATCAATGTTCAGTATTGAGTGAGCGTAGTCGGCAGTTGTTGATGATGTATGTCTGTAGTTTGTTGGAAATGCTTTCCGTGACGCGCCAAGTCTCTGCACCATCATATGGATGTACTGACTGAGTAGACTGAATTAGTGTTGAAAATCCGCATCCTGTTCACACTTTATGCTGAGTGCAGTGCAGTGTAGTGCTGTGCAGCGCAGTGCAGAGCAGTTCAGTAAAGTAGATCTCCACACTCTTTTCAGATGGATGAAGTAATGCCTATCTTGCTGTCTCTCCGATCCTGGCTTCGATGTCCTCATCTGTGCCACCGTCACCTGTAGTTGAAACGATGCTGCCTTGACAGGTAGGTAGGTAACTAGGTGGTTAGTTGGTAGGTAGGTAGGTGAAAGAGACTGCTTCCCTTAGATTTCTCCCACTGATTGTGACTGGTGCTTGTTGCAGTTGGTGTTGTTGTTGTTTGTTGGGTATCCTCACCACCTCCGTCCTCTCTACATTCACTTGAAGGAAGTCCCATCTTCCTTCATCGCTTCGCCTCTCCTGTCAACTTGTTGGTTTTCGCCTCCACATCCCCAGGTTTGTGTCACAAGACATCAGACATGAATCATCATTGGCGAAATGAAAACCTTCTTCTGTGTCCTTTTCATCGGTCAAACAGCGTATGCCCATCTTCTCACAGTTCATCACAGTTGTCTGTTGCATGATCCAGTTCAGTCCGGTCCAGTCGAGTCGACCAAAATCAGGAAGATGATTGGTCGTGGTAGGCGACAACCATGTCTTACTCCTGTCTTTACCTCAGATGTATCACTGAACTTTCCATTGTAAATCAATTGGCATGTAGTATCATATGGCATAACATGAAGCTATTCAATGAGGTTGATAAAGGTTTGTTGCACTAAGACCATGTTGTTGAAGCAGTTTCCAGACTACTTCTCGGTTGACGCTATCGAATGCCTTTTCGAAATCGATGAAGTTGAGGTGGAGATCCAGTTGACTGCTTTTCCGTGCTGTGTTCGATGATGATGCGCAGGGTGACTTTGTAATTTGCTCCGCACATGATTTGTCGTTTCTGGAGTCAGCCAGCCAGCCAGCCTGATCTGGTTGTAATTTTGAATCCAGTGCAGTGTGCACCGTTCAGCTTCTCCTGATTTATATTTGAAATATGTTAAATTTCAACTTTTGTGAATGATAGTAAGAATGTTTTATACATAAACTTGGAATCACCGCTGATTTCTGTTTTATTTATCATGATTGTTGTCCATTCGCATTTGCTGCATACGCGTTTCAGCAGTTTAGTATTCTTTATATTAGTGTCCCATTTCTTTTGTATATTACCAGATAATCTAAGAATGTATAGCAAATAACACCATCTTATGGACCTTTTGATGATATAGTCTATGTGGTCTCAAAAGTAAGTGGCCTAATTATTCTAGACTTCTGAAGGAAGGTATGACAGTGCTTGAAAAAGGTAATTTGTCACAAGAAAGTTCTAATATACATTATGACAGTGTTTTAAATTTTGCCTGAACTTGATTTTACCGTGAAGACAGTAAAGCGCATATTCCTATGCAAACAAATAACATAGATTCATATGTAATTCATCACAGATTGGTGTCAGCTGGAGATACACTGAACGCCTTAGACATCTGTTTCTTCTCCGTGCTTCCAGGTTTTCGATAGCACTCTGGTTTGTTCCAGTCCATGATGAATGCTACCACGAAATAAATATATCCCTTCAAACCATGAACTAAAATATCTAAGAATACTGCCTAAGCTATCTTTCTTCGACTGTTTCGTAGACCCACGTTTGACTAAAATTACCTGTAGACCAAATCAAAGGTAATTTTTAGGAAATAATCTGTTAACGTTGGTTTTTCTAGATGAAACAAATGACTAATTTGTCTTTTTTGTGTACAGATTTTCTGAAAACTAATTTGCACACATATTCATTTGAAACTGAGTGCTTTAGTAGAAATTGTTTTCATCGCCGACACTTAGTCATTTTGTCACTTTTTGGAGGCGTAATTCTCTTCACTGTTATATTGTCAAACACGATGTGTAGGGGTTGAATTATTACTTGGGTTATTATTCAATTAGTTGTGTTCTTCTTATAAAGATACATTTTCTTTCAAGTTCTAGACTTCTCATATCAGAGTTCTGAATGAAAATCAATCCTTCCTTGAATGAAGACATTTCTGATTACGAGCCACAAATACTTAGTAATCAACACCACTTTTAGTCATTATTTTAACTTCTAAAAAAAATTAAGCCCATAAATTTGTCCTTATATATATACTGCTTTTCAATTCTGGAATTTCACCATCTATACATGTTACTTAGTGTAACTGCTTATAAAAATGAAGTTGAGAAGTTAATACTCACAGTAATTGTTAAGGACTCTGAATTTAGCTTCTATCGCTTTTGCCACTAAACATGAGAAGTCGACTACTACTACTACTACTCTAATTTCCAGTCTGTTGTTTAGAAATCATAATAATTGATATAATTATGATATCGAGTGTGATATGTAAACTAGCGGTCTATCTTGAAGCAGATGTAATCATATTACGCATTCAGATTCAGATTGAGTCCGCTTTTAACTCTGAAGCTAAAAGTGTACATCAAGCTATTATTCTAAATTATTCCTCAACACAACTAATAATGAATTTCTCTGAAATGATAAATTCCTATGCCCATTCGAATAACCTACAATATATTTTCTTGTTCATAAATGATAAGTATGTCAAGTACTGTTTTACAGTCTAGCAGATATACCTATTTATGTGTAGATACATGTGTATTTACCAGGTTAATCCATGATTAATGGCTACTGTATAGGTGCTTGGTCTTAGACAAACATAACGTAGTAATCTTTAGAAAAGGAAGAATCAGTCCTCATTTGTTTAGTGTGCGGAAATAAAGAGTCAAATATTACGGTATTAATTTTTATGGCTTCTTTTGCCAAACATGTTTTCGTTAAAGCTAATCTTTGCATGATTAATTGTAATTGAAGATTTCAAGTCTATTTTCTTGATTAGAATTATGTAAAAGGGGTTGTTATTTTCATAAAATGTTCAGATCTTTTTGATTAATTCATGAATATAAGGTGTGAAGTTCAATGAAATGTCCAGATTTTGTGTGCATAAACGATAGATTATTCTAAACCAAACTACAGATATTACAAAATATAATAATTTTCATAGTCGAATATTTAGGATGTTTGGTCGAATTCTGTCATTAAACTCAGTTCATGCACAACAAATGTAATAAACTTAGTATGCAAATATGAGCAAGGAATAAAACTACAAGGTAATGAATATGTTCTTAGGTCTAAGCATCTGACCCTAAAGTGATAAGACAATCGCAGCGAAATAATATTTTCCCCCTCAACTGACTAATTATTCTACCTGGACATTAATCCCTCATAGTAAAAAGTGAATACGTCATGAACCTCCATAGGATATAATTAAGCTGGCGACAGGTTACTGAATCTAATTTTTGCCATCTGAGTTATTAGAATTAAGAAATGAGACACCACTACACTTATGAGAAGCTCTCAGTGGTTAGTGTGACACTGAAATCTAGTTCACAGCTGCATTTTATAGCATGTGCAGTACAGAATCAGTTCGAAAATCCGTACATAACCATTTCAAAACTCAGTCCAATCCACTTCCCGTACCGACTTTAATTTCTACTGCTGCATACAAAGTTTATCTGTCCAGCATTCCAATTAATAAAACAATCCCATTTATGAATGCAATGCAGGTTAACAGGTTTGGATAATTCAGCTTGAAACTTGATATTCAAGTGACAACTCAAAATCTTTAAATTCACTGAAAAATTTCAGTATATACATAAAAGTAACGCAGTGCGGGTCATTGTTATTAAA